ACTTTCCAATGTCACGCACTCGTGCCCATGCCTTTGTCTGCACTCCTGATGTTCGCTCTGGGCCGGCTTGCTAGAACAGCGTCCTGAGACTGGCTGAAAGAAAACAGTGCAAAGGGTGGGGCGCGCGAGCGTCTTGAGGCGCGGACTCCCGCTCGGCTCGTGCGCTGGCTTTGGCAGTGCTTTGTTTCCTCGTCTCAGCTGAGACGCTGTTTCTAGCAAGTCGGCCCTGGTTTGGAGCGCACGTTCGTTTATTCTACACTTGAATATTGGCGTGACTGAAACCTCACATGCACAAAGTTTTCAGTCACCGCGAGCTAAACTTTTTCACTCTAGCGACGCTAAAACGAATCAAATTAGTCGTGTCACATATTTAGAGCACACGACCACCGCTAGGGGCTGTTTCGCGGCCTGTGGTTGGCCCCGAGATGCTCGCCTATTCCAACCAATGCGTGGCCAAACTCTCTCAATAAAAGGCTCTGCATCCGTCTAGAGTTCCTTGATATGCTCCTCTGAAGGGGGAGCATACTGTAGGTAGCTATAGATAGCGCCACTGTATATGCTCCCGTAGGGAGCAGAGTAACGCCAACCGTAGCGCCCCCACTCGGCGACTAGCGGCGAATGCCAAAAAGGTTCCAACTCTTGCATTGTGCACGTATCGGGTATAGAAGAAAGCGGGTGTTTTGTAATATCTGGGCCTTTCATCGTGTAAAAACTATTTTTAATATCATAGGTAAGCACTCTAAAAGCATTCGCAGCACTTGCTATGATCTGAGCGAGCGAAGAAGTCTTGTTTTGAGCCCAAATCACCTTACGGTAGCAGACGTCGCAGCGGGCTCTGCGGAGAGTAGGCGGCAGTTCTGCGGTTCTATCGCCAACTTTTCGAGGAGTTTCCCGAGTTTTCAAAGGAACTCGTGTCAGTACAAAGGCGGGTTTATTCGGAATGTCGACGGTCCTTTTTATTAGAGCGTTTTTTTACTCTTCATTTCTAATAGAATCGTTAGGTGCTGTCGATCGGATTTGTTTACTGTTGAGGTGCATGTCATGTTGATAGCACAAATTGTCAAAGCACCTTGCTTGCTACCGTTACCAGTATTTCAAGGTGTTTCTACGGTAGACTATAGTTCTATTTTACTTGAAATCCGAAGTGAGAAGCTGGCAAAAATAACGTTGTAACATCGTCGACATTGGTCATAACGGTAATTACGATCGTGTCCTCGCCGAATTTCGACGGGAGGGATTGTACAAAACTTCTTGCTTGCTGCTTGGCGACATCTATTGAACCAGTTCCACAGGCTCCTGAAAAGATATATGTAATGTGTGTGTTAGTTGTATTAATTACCCACCAACTCGCAGCATATCGCTGAATACCGAGTCTTATTCAGTGAAATTAACTTCCATTAATTAATAAATTACCTGTGAGTCCACTGATGGAAGGACTGGAAAACTTGCCGTCGCCTCCATGAGATGCTAAATTAAATTACATAGATTTTTAACAATATCAACACTGCAATTTCAAGTCGCAGATAATAATTGGTGCGTGTGCATATTCAGTATTTAGACAATCACTGAAATGAAGTGAAGGGTCTCCGAATTCGATGACCGATATAGCCAGTGCAGGGTGACTGCTAGCCAGGGGTCCGTAGCGTGTATCACGCAGTAGTGATACACGAAAGCGTGCCGGTACGATGTTCATCGAGATCAAAACAAGAAGAGGTGCACGATTGAGCGGGATCCCTGGCTTCTGCAGCGCGAACTTTCGTTCCATGTGCTCCAAGCTAAGACGCGCTAATAAAGTCACAGATGCAGAATAACACCAGCGTATAGTCAATGCGTGACAAGCAATGCGGTATCGTATGTACGCGTAGGAAACATGATGCAGTAATCTCACGAGAGAATTTCACGGCGAGTTAGCGGCAAGCCTATACAGTAGCCGTCGATTGACGCGCACGTTTCAAATATCACGCATACAACATTCCTCGGTTCCTCGTGAAAGAGTTGCATATTCGGAACTCGCGGCGAGATGCGGTGACGTCATTGTGACGTGGCAGAAGCCGCCGCGGATGGGAAAAGCTTGCCGGCTCCGACCTAGGCGAGTTGGGCGCGAGATCAGGGAGAAGCGTCCAAAATGGCAGCGTTTTCGTTCGTGTTTAGCCGTCGGCATAGGTATTTAAACCACGCCAATGTGTTGGACATGGACGACGTTCATTTTCAACAACACTATCGCCTCTCAAAATACGTGGTAAGGTGGCTGTGCGATGAACTGCGTGGCGAACCGGGCTTGAGGCGATGGAGCCGTGAATGGACCGTCGTCCCCGTCGTGAATCCTACATCCAAATTCTACAAAGTGAATCCTAGAAACAAATGTGTTTTTACGGCAATCTGCAACCAGGAACGCAATTTACCATTACCTACAGGCTTTTACAATTATTTTGATGGGTTGCTGTGCTGCGTAGATGCAAGATAAACGCACTTGATAAAATTCAAACTAAAACAGATGATAGAAGAAAAGCAATATACATGAATGGCGCAGACTAACAACTGTGTAATTTCTTTCTCATCTTTCTTCTTCCACACCGTATTTTGACAAACAAATTGGCCGTTAGTTGTTTACACAGCAGGAGAACATGCCAGAACATTGCGACATTGTCACCTACTGTAGATAAGCAATTTAGCCAGTGCAGTATGACTGCTAGCCTAGGGTCTTTAACATGCACCACGTAGTAGTGTTACACGACTGCACGCCGGTACGATGCTCATCAACATCGAAACGGGCAGGGGTGGGGATTGAACCCAGCATCCTGGGTTCTCCAACGGACCTTTGGCTCGACGTGCTCCGAGCTGGTGTGTGCTAGCCCAGCCGGCCACCGATCCCCCGATTTAAATAAAATAAAAACCCTTCACTGCGGAGCGCAGGGAAAAATCGGAGCTACGCTGGGGAACTCGCCGCCGCCGGGGCGGTCGGAAATGTAAGAGGGGGAGTGGGAAACTCGCCGGGGCGGAGTCAAAAGAAGCTCCTCCCCTCCCTCGTGACGTGGCATTGGAGAGATTCCCGCCGGTTACTTTGCGTTTGCGATTTCTCTCGCAATGCGGGATACGAAACAGTTGTTTGCCAGCCTCATGCCGGTTACTGCAGCCAAAAGCGCAGCACCCAGGCAACTGGGTCCCTTTCAGCCGCTCAAAATACTGCAAATAAAAATCTCTGTTACGTCACGGCGCGGTGGTGGCGCGTCGGACGCACTTCCGGTCTGGGGCTGTGGGCGGAAGTGCCCATTTGAGACGTGTATTCCTGCGTTGTTTTGAAGGGAACCAGACAAAAACCTGCCTTGTTGTCAAAATGCTGCGACTGGGGCTGTACCAAGAGAGTCGAGAAAGGTTTGAAGGCCAGTTTTCATGCGCTCGGTTCGTCCGAGAACGCGGATATGTGCCGTGAAAAGGGAAAACCAGACGCCGTCGGACCAGGATTGCTTGGACGGGAAGCATTTTGGGTTAAATTCACGGATACTACTGGCCATCAAACTTACTTGTTTGGTTCCAAAATGAACGTCGGAAAACCGTCAAGTTGTACGGACCACCTGCGGACTACGTTTAGTGCGTCTTCAAGTTCAAACGGTCGCCTGATTGTTCGAACTGTCGTCTGCTCTTTCAAACGTTTCTGCTTGTCGTCTGCTCTTTTAGAGGCCCGTAGACCAAACGTGGGCCCGGTACTTCCGATAAGAATTAAGTGCAGGCTCTTCAAAGACTTAAGTTTGAAGGTTGGTAAGCAGGCTCGACGTAAATAGTAGATACAAGGAGATGTTGATCATTGTTACCAGTGGTCATCACCGGCTTGTTATGCCTGATTCACTTGGTTAGATTCTGCTTGCGATTTTCAGTATCGACGTCGACCATCTCAGCTACGGTTCACGCTTTTGCAGTCCGAGCGACGTCGCTACTGAAAATTGCGAGCGAAATCTCATCATGTGATTCAGGCTTTAGTGTACATGCTGCGGCGTCCACGCGGAATGAATCGCCGCAGATCAGATTATTCACGCGAAGTTTTGCGGTGTAACCAGCCTCGTTAATTTCGCTGACGTTTCTCAAGTAGTCAGACATCGTTAGGAGGACGTAGAATCAACAATTCCAACGCGAAAAAGAGCGCGGGGGCTCACACCGGCGCCGACAACGTGGCATTTCAATGGTTGGTTTATGGGCGACGGCGAGCTTTTTTGCCCACACCCCCATCGCGCATGCGCGGCGCCGGTGGCGTCCGCTAGGGGCGCTCCGGGCGCTCCGGTTTGTTTGTAAACATGAGTTGGTGTATACAACAACAATGCTCCCGCCGCGAAGACTGGAACCTTTTGCGAAAGCGCGGGAAAAGTTTGCCCACGTGATCGCCGTGAGCCAATAGGGAGCGCGGAGTGTCGGCAGATTCGAACATCAATCAATGGCGCTACTCTGGCTCCCTTAGCTATAGACGCTTTACACACGCGCCAGATTGAACCGCCATAGCCGCCCTTCTCTTGTTTTACCGAGATGCCGAGCCACTGAAGCGGGCGTTGACGAGCCTCCACAAGGGCCTAGGCTGGGGAGAAGGTCACAGTAACACTTAAAATGGCAATAACCGGTCCTGCTGTGGTAATGATGAAGTGGAGCGAACGGAATAATACGGAACAAAAACTGAAGGTCAGTTATGGCGGCGCCCATGCGCAGCTGCCTGAAAGCGTCTATTCGCTTGCCGCTTGCACGGCCTTTGCAGCTATAGGGAGTATTCACTGGACGCCATATTTGTGGGTGCTGTTTAGAGCGCATGCTCAGAACGAGCTCACATCAATAGGCTGCTAAGACCGGCAATCTTGAGGGTGCGGAATGCACGTTTCGAAATAACTGTGGAAGCTCGCCATCTGCACGCGCTCAGCATTCGCGCACACAGCTATGGCCACCAGCGAATACTCCCTATTCTATGCAAGGGTGATAATCCGTCGTATTACACACAGGTAAAACTCCGGAAAAATGCGTACGAAATTACTGCGGCTGGGCTCTGTCGCCTCCGGTACACGTAATCTTCATTTGCAACAGGAGTGACGGACGGCACCGGGCGAAGTTTGAAAATGGAGAACGCTTATTTTGATGTTCCTGAGAGCGCGACGAGTACAGGCGGCAACGTCGACAACACGCACCAGCGCGGACACCGCCGAGCCGCCGAGCACCCAACCACACACACGCCGAGCGACGGTTGGTTGGACAAACTTTATTTAGATAAGCTGTGTGCGTCATTTAGCCTCGTGGTTGGGTCCCACAGGCATGAGCCACTCGCCTAACCCGATCGAGCAGCAACGCAGACAGCGGCATTAAAAGAAAACGTGTTGTTGACGTCAGAATAACGAAGACGTCAAAATAAAAGCAGTTATTTTGACATCCGTGACGTCATCGGCCACACCCCCTGGACGTCAAATCGGTGCCGAAAATACGCAGCCGGAAGCAGGAGAGACAATTGCTGGATCGGCATACCCGCTCGTTCCCTGCAGTGCGAGTGCGGCCACCGGACGGGCATCTTGCATGCAGAAATTTTTTGTTTTGATAGCATCGCAGAGGCCGCCGGCAGCGTGCTAAAGACACGTTTTCTACTCGTTCATCGTCATTCGCTGAAGAAGATTTTTAAAACCCTACGCAGGTGGTGAGACTTGCCGTTGAGAATTCGCGAAAATTTTTACGAAAGTGCATTACCGCAGGAAAAAGTCACAACTATTCGAAAGCAAGTTTCGCCGGTCTCGCGGCACGATCAAAGCTTCCTTGGCACGCCGAAATGCTGCGTCTCTGTGTCTTTGCACTGTTGGATACCGATCAAGAATTGACGCCGTGTGCATGTGTTTTGCGAGTGCAATGTGCGTGAAGCCGTATGGGCCTCTGGATCAGCGTCTTACTTTAGTCTGACGACTGTATACTTGCGGCACTCGTGGTCCAGAAACGAGCTTGATCCAGCGTCCAATTGCGACAGAAAAGGGGCGGGGGGGGGGGGGGGAGGTATGTCTTTTTTTGCCGTGAGAGGATTTACAGAATACCGCGCACAACAGCTTCTCATCACTGATCAGTGCTGGCTCATTATCAACCTACCTAACCGCACTTGACGTTTCAGCGCGGCTCGCCTAATTGTGATTGGTCAACAGATTGCACACGACCAAATGCGTCACGAGCCACGTTTCAAAGATTTCCATTCTCGGCGTCTTGTACTTTTGCCTTCGAAAACCCTTCTTGCTCCACAGCGTTCCTCTGTTTGTGCTCCCATGTGATCCATTAGAGTAGATTTGGAACATAGCCATGGTTAATAGTGCGTAAGAGCACGTACAGATCCCCCTTTTTTAAATTTATACCAACTCACCGGAACAGCTAGACGATCCAAAACTCCGTCGCCGATATACGTATATGTGATCTAGAGACATATACGCTCGACACACCTTTAAAACTTTGGCGCGACGTCGATTCTTGATCGTCATCCAAGCATCCCCACTCAGGAAAATATTCTTGGTGCTACCCACAATCATTACATAAGCTCTTAAGGGGATGCTGAACGGAAATCTGGATTCCACAGAACACGGCGGCAGAAGCGTGCAATGGGATGCTACGAATACCAAAACATCACTCATACAGCGATATCTCAAACAAATAACCGTATTTTTCTAAAAAAAAAAAAAAAAAGGAGGCGCATTTGACAGGTATGTTGACGTCTTGTTTCTCCAAGAAGGGTCGAGAAGGAGAGGAAATGGCCTCACATCTTCTCCGCCTCGCCGCCTTGTGGGGGCAAAGCAGAGAGAGGAGGAAAGGAAATATGTTGACGTCACGCGCGTCGTTGGCCTTGTTCAATCGCGACCTCTTTTCCAAAAATACGGCCGTCCATTGGCGATATCGCCTTGCGAGTGGTCTTGTAGGGTCCCGCCTACTGATACTACATTGTTTTCTGAAATCGAAATTTTGGTTCAGCATCCCTTTAATGTCTCACAGTAGTGCATGGCTGGTCGTTGGTGATAATTGTCCAGTTATGTTGACAGAAAAGCTTCATTTGATCCGATTGATCTGTAAGTATAAATGCATTTTGTGTATTGCTTCCAGGTTGCAGCCCTGATACAAGAACAAACCACGGAGCAAGCAGGATCGACCAAGTGGTTTTCCTTCCGTGCAGGCCGGATTACCGCATCGAACGCAAGGACGGTCTGCAAGACATCTGTCAGCCAGCCATCACAGTCACTGCTTAAGAAGATATGCCATCCAATGGAATCGCAGTTCTGGTCCCCTGCAGTGGACTGGGGAAGGAACAACGAACCGAAAGCCCTCCAAGCGTATGAAGCCAAAGCAGTGCGACTACATGAGGACTTCTCGTGCAGGCGCTCAGGGCTTCACATTTCGTCCAAGCACCCATTCCTAGGTGCAACACCTGATGGTCTCATCGACTGCTCATGCTGTGGGCCAGGGGTTTTGGAAGTTAAGTGCCCCTACACATTCCGGGACAACTTCATCAAGGAAATGCCTGGCCAGAAGAACTCCTGCCTGTACAAACAAGGGGATGACATGATGCTGCTAGAGGACCACAGCTACTATTACCAGATTCAAACACAGATGCTGGTTTGCAACAGAGAACTGTGACTTTGTGGTGTGGACATCCAAAGACGTTCAAGACTTCAGAATTGTGAGAGACGAGCGCCTCTGCAAAGAGATTGTCGCTTCCTGTGGGAAATACTTTCAGTCTGTGCTACTGCCCGAGCTCATCTACAAGTATTGGAGCACTAGACATGCTGAGGCAGCATCACAGGCTGCAGAAGCTGCAGCAAGTGAGGAAAGTCAACCCGACAGCACATACTGCCACTGCAGCGGGCCTGAATCCGGGGACATGATTCGATGTGATGGAGTTTCGTGCGAATACAAGTGGTTCCACTTTGCGTGTGTGAACCTAAAAAGGGCTCCCAAAGCACGAAAGTGGTATTGTATGGACTGCAAGAACAAAAAATGACTGCAAGTGCATTGAAGAGCAGGTGTGCTTAGTTGACTTCCTGTGAACAGTAGATCTAACATGCCTGCTGAAATGTTTTTGTGTGCCCTTGTAGCTTGGAACTTTTCAAAAGTGTTTGCTCTGCTCCTCAAGTTTCATGCCCTATAATTGAAATCACTAAGAATTTTTACTTGAATCAGCTGAACATACAATTATCAGAGCTTTCCTACAGAGGAGAGATAGAAAATGTGCTTTTGACTGCTGGTCTACCAACTGTTTTAATGATGAACTTTGTTTTCTTCGACTACTTTTGTTTGTTCTTTTTCCTTTTCTTCAGCTACAAACAGTACAAACAATAGTAATAAGAAAAAAGTAGTTTACCATTAAAACAGTTGGTAGTCGAGCAGTGGAATGCACATTTTCCGTCTCCTCTCATTTGTATGAATGCTCCGATAATTGTATATTCAGCTGGTTCCGCTCAAAATGTAAGCTGTGAGAAGTGAGTTTATTTAGATCTAAATATATTTGACACTGATTGCCCCTTATGTGCTTGAAGTATGTTGTTCCTAATGCCATGATCACTACAAATTAACTCTGGTAAACAAGACAAAGAATGACGAGTTTGCAATTTGTAATCATTTGTTGAGCTGTTTATTTCATTCATTCATCGCAAATAAAAAATATACTCTGCGATTCAGCGACGCCGAGTGTACCAAAACCAGTTAGTAACCTGAAAGTTGAAAAATGGAGCAGAGTTGCCTTTTAAATGTGGAATGTATAATTCGTTTTTATAACGTTACATGAAGGCAACTCTGAACAGCACAGCCAATGAGGCAGTGGTAATGTATACATCACCCAAAGGGTACAATAGGTGCTGACAGGTTAGTCAAGGCAGCACATACAAGAACAATCTTGTCCAGCCCCGTGTTTGTGCCGTCTCGAGCAACCAGTAACTCTGATGGAATAGTGCTCTTCAGGATTGTGTATTTTCTTCGTACCAGCCCAATTACTCTTTCAACATGAATACGGACGTTTGCTAGCTTTCGTGTTGCCTCAACCGCAGAAGGTGCCAGTTGTGGCCGGCCTCTTGTGAAGGCAGGAATTTCCAAGCGTGCGCAGTACATGCCAACTGAGCCTGAAATCGTAAAGCCCCGGTCAGCTAGCACTGAATCACCTGGAAGCAGATTGTCCAGTACCCCACAATTCTCTGTCAAATACTTGTCACTTGTTCGTCCTCCCCAACCCTTCGATATAAATGTAATTAAACCCTGTGGGGCGATACCGATTAGGTACTTCACTGTATTGTGATGTTTATAGCTCGACCATGTCAGCGCCCTCGTGAGAAGAGACGATGGCCGAGCTATAAACACCTCAAAACAGTCCAGCACCACCGCCACTCGTGTGCCAAACGTCTCGCGAAAAGCCATTGGCATAGTCTCTCGCAAAACGTTTCTCGGAAGCCAAGCAACCCCACTGGCCATAGACGTGAACGCAGCTTCCAGCCACCTGTCGACTATCCTTGAGATGGTGGGCTGCGATACCTGGAACCTGCATAATCGTTTGGTTACCAAGATGACAAGATAAGAGGGGCTCTTCGTGCTTTGGTTTATTTTCAGTCACCAAAATAATTGAAAACACCCATACCTGTACGCCAAGTCTTGCAGTGGAGTGTTCAGACGCAGGCGGATCAGGAATACAATCATCTCCTGAAACTTTGTCAGGCAATTGCGATCGTTGTGGCTCACTCGACGTTGGATGAGCTGAAAAACGGCTAACAGAATTGCAAAGTTAGGAAGGCCAGTGTAGAAAGGGACCATGTCCTTGTTTTCCTGGAAGGCGTCCTCATCCAGGCAATGAGCTGCAAGTTTTGCTCTTGCGTCTCTCAGATCTGACATCAGCTGCCGATTTTCATCTTCTAGGAGGGCCATAGATTGCAGGGTGATGTCTGTTGTTTGGCCACAATCCTGCATTTCTGTAATATTGTTGAGATTGGTATGGTTATAACTGCACCTTCTCAACACCCTGCTGCAGGCTGTAAAAGATACTCCTAATCATATTAATATTTGTGCGGCTACAAAGCTTTCGAATACAATATGCCTCCAAAAGTTTCCGTTTATGTGGCGATGATGGTCTAAACTTCGAAAGCCAAGAAGGCGCACTCAGAATACCAAAGCACTAGTTGGGCAAGAACGCAATCGGAACAAGAAGTAGTAGTAGATGGGTTTGGAGAACGGGGACAGTATCACAGTGTTTTTTATTATCAAAGGGAATGTGTCACTAAGGCACAAAGGCTTGTTAACCACACTTGCGAGAAACCTATCATATACTAAATATACTTGCAACACTACAGGTTACGCAAAATTAAGTCAACAAAAATGTTAGCTTGAGAAGGGTATGTTGGATATGACTTCATCTTTCTTTCTGTTAGTTTAGAAGCCTGTGACTGTAACCTATCAATCCTAAGCATGCCTGAAACTGCTACAAACCTGATCCAAGGCCACAATCTGGGGACCTCTCTGTTTCCTCGTTTTCGTCCGGCATGTCCTCTTCGACAGCTAGGTCTTCTGCAGAGGCATAATTGAACAGATAAGTTCCATTTAAGAAATGATGCGGTGCCATGGGGTAGCCCCCGGACCTACCCGAGGTGCAGCAGCAGTCCTCCAGTGCAGGCTTGGCAGCCTCCACGAGCAGTGGACTTGCAGGGGCCAGGTCCTCGGTCGAGATGAGTGTGCTCTCCTTCCTGGCATCCATGCCAGAGAGCAAAGGTGGCTGACCACGAGCGGTCTGCGCCGATTTTCGTGCCTGCGCTCTTTTGTACCTAAAATACAGAACGGAAATGTCTATTTTTGTTGCATGTATAACTCCAGCCAATCATCTCACAGTCGTGAACTGGGGACATTTAAAAATGAGCAAGCACTAGGGAACTACACATTTTTGTGTTTACATGGGCTTGTACTCTTAGCAACTGAGGCTTAGGAGTGGTGCTCGATCCGGGAAGTTAATTAGGAGATATCTCGATTAGCTTCATCGTACAGGCTAGAACACTGCACGAGCCGATGTTTTCGGCACAGGCCCGGAATTATGAGTTACCCATCAGAGTCTGGACAGGGGCTTTAAGCCAGGCCCAAAAGGGGGTGGGGTGGGGTGAAGGGGTGGGGAAGGCTGGGCCCGCCAACGTTTAGGCTCGCGCCCGCGAGCTTGATTTACGGGCTGTTAACGGTTATGCCCGTGTCCGCGATGCAGTTCTCTAGTACAAACACTCTGAATTAGAGTAGACCTACGCCACAAACGCGTGGCCACTTGCACACGAAACAGTCGATGCGCGGGCGACTAAGGCCTGGCGACAACTAAAAATACCTGCGATCGGACGCCGTTCGGTCAGCTGCTCCGTCGCCGTACCCGAGCTTAAGGCTCGGAGCCCAGTCGGGATTCATGTCGTCCATGACGTACGTGGGGCGTCCTGTAAGGTGTTTTCCAGGGACAAATTAAGTGTGCGGCTCGACAACATATGACATTAACATTAATAGGAATGTCACCCTTAATTACCTGAGATGAAGTGCACACCGCACACCCGATAATGCGTCGAAGACTCGTCGACGTCGTCGCGCCGAATTCTGCGAAACCATTCGGCCCTCCTAGCAGCGCTGAGGGCCGCCGTCTTCGCACACTGACCAGTGACGACTTTTGGGATAGCAAAGAATCCTACAGTCACGAAGTTTTCATCATTTGGGGCTCTCTTGGTGCGGTTAGTACAACCGTAAACTGCACAGTTCACCATCGCCGCCAAAACGAATGAAACGACCCACAGTTGAGCGGTTCCGCAACCTCCTGAATCTAAAAAAGATGCACCTTCAAAATGGCCGCCCGACCGTAGCGCACCCTGGATTCTTTTTATCCCCTGCCTCAGCGAATACCACCTATTAGCACGAAGTATTTAGATTATATAGACCTATTTATTACACCTGGTACAAATGACCTACTGGCAATTAGTGACTTTCTAGTAAATTGACAGTTTATGGACCACTCTAAAGGCTCTGGCTGTTACTAGCTGTAGTGACTGGCTCTTTGCAGTTAGAAATAAAGCACAGCAATTCAAATATGTAATTGCTTCATGGGTCATTATTTTAAATTGTATGAGATTCACTTCCAATGAGTCTGGAAATGCTACACGACGTAGTAATTACAGCCAGTTAATGCTACACTGGCAGTTTAACGAAGAGCCAGTATTTATAAGGAAGTAGAAATAGTGTCCGGTTCAGTTTTACCTGTCGTTTCGGGGGCCTGGTTAGCCTCTAATTGCTGCAATTACTATTGGATTATATTTCTGAGTTATTTGAATGAGTAGAAACTAGATTGCCTTCCAAGGGCTATTAATGGCTCTGGGCCAATATCCTAAGCTATTTCGGGGCATATAGACCAAGCAGCTGTTTATTAGGTAGTTCCATTTGTGATAGACTTTAATGACCATTAGTGACCATCGTGATATTTGTAATGTTATGTCTCAGATTGGATTTGAATGACTATTATTTGATATTTGATTTTATTTCCTAATTATATGGCGGATTTCGTTCCAAATGACTTTTAATGACAATCAATGACTATTTGTAACTGTTTTGAGTTATTTGATTGCGCGCGGCCTGAGTTGGCTTTAAATGGCTAATTTTGGCTTTTTATCAAAATTTGATATGATAGATATGTAGTTCAAATGAATTCTAGTTACTTTTAATGACTTTTGGCCAATATTTTGAGTTCTTTCATTGTGTGCAGACTGAGCTGGCTTCATACGGCTATTATCGGCTACGTGATCATGTTTATAAATTATATGGCAGATTTGGGGTCCAAATTACTTCCGTGACTATCAATCACTATCGGTCACTTTTTCAACTTATTTGTTGTGTGCAGACTGAGTTGGCTTCCAATGGCTACTATTGGCTATACATTCATATTTATAATTATATGGCAGATTTAGGGTCCATATGACTTCTAGTGATTGTCCATGATTATCAGTCCCTATTTCGAGCTATTTGATTGTGTGAAGACTGAGTTGGCTTCACATGGCTATTATTGACTATATGATTATATTTATAAATTATATGGCAGATTCGGAGTTCAAATGACTTATACTGACTATAAATGACTATTGGTCACAATTTTGGGTTATTTAATTGTGTGCGGGCTGAGTTCGCTTCCAATGGCTACTATTGGCTATACAATCATATTTTTTTTATTTATACGGCAGATTCGGGGTCAAAATGACTTCTAGAGACTTTCAATGGCTATTAGTCACTATTTCGACTTACCTGATTGTGTGCAGACTGATTTGGCTTCATATGGCTATTATTGGCTATATTATAATGTTTATAAATTATATGACAGATTTGGGTCCAAATGATTTCAAGTGACTATCAATGATGATCAGCGACTATTTCGACTTATTTGATTTTATGCAGGCTGAGTTGACTTCCAATGGCTATTATTGGCTACACGCATCTGTTATTGACCTGTTTGGCTCGAATTGCCAAAAAAATGACTATTAGTGCTTTTTGGTCGCAATATTCTTCTATTCTATAGACCGACACGCGGAGCGGCTCTGTTTACCAACACGGCCGGAAGGCCGCGCATGCGCGGTGGCTATGTGGGCAAAAGCAACCCGGCTGTCCGTGTTTTCGCCATTGCGCTCTATGGCGTGCGCTCGTTGTTGACGTTGTAGGGACGCTTGTATCTTTATTTGTGCGTCGTATTTCTTCACAACGTATGTAGTATGGTATGCCCGACTATTTGAGCTCGTTTCCCGAGCCTGAACGGTAGCGGTATCGAAACAAACTGTGCGTGGACGGCGTTGCCTACGTGGATCCGTACGCAGTAAACAAGGCCTGCTGGACTTCCGACGTAAAGTTGCTGCCTCGGAAGTCGACGGCTCAGGTCGTCGTTTATTTAGTTTTTTCGCCAAGCCAGTTCACGGCCGACACGGTGCAGGCGTACAAGTCTCTCGAGGTCTACGATTACATCGAGTCGGTTTCCGCACTGCCGGCGGGATCCGCAGACTGTGGGCCTGCGGAAGTGTCTGTATTCATTGGTTGATTAAATTCACAGAGCGTCTTCAAGTCAAGGTATGATATTTTTCATACCCTCATGACCACAAGGCACTACAACCAGTAAAGGTTTGTCCGTTCTGAGTCTTGGCGGTAACAGGTTACAAGTAACGGCGTTACCAAGAACGCGTTACTTTTTTCAGTAACGTAGTAATCTACACGTTACGTTTTCGGCACAGTAAGGGGTAACGCACTTAGGTTACTATTTCAAGTAACGTAGTTACGTTAGTCGTTACTACTTACCAAGTTTTAAAGAAATTACACTTCAATTGTTTCCGTGTTTAAGGCGTCAAGCCATGTTTTTCTTTGCGTTTTTTCTCGTAAGTATTTAGGTGAAACTGTAAAAAGAGATAAATTAATTATGTTCAGTTTCTGCATGAACATAATGTTTCTTGATATATGACCTGTATCATCAAAGCCGTGAAATGTGTTAAAGCATAATTTAAAAAAAGTAACGCAGAAGTAACGTGCCTTACTTTTTATCGGTAGCGGTAACGCGTTCCTTTTATTTTTAGATAGCGTAGCTCACTAACGCGTACCTTTTATTTGCAAGTAACAAGTAACGTATTTCGTTACTTTTTTTTTGGTAACGCCTACAACCCTGCCGTTCTGTCGCCAATTCCCTTCTGCTGGGTAGCACGGGCGTAGCGAGCCTCCGACGAGCGCTTGGCCGGGGCGTTGTGCGCGAACACCGTGGGAACAAAATCCGGGTGGTCTCGATCAGACAACGGTTTCCTTGCTCATAAGCAAGCCTCGGGACGGAGATTGAAATGGAAGCCGCACTTGCCTCCAAGAAAGTGTGTGCTGCACAAACGGTCGTTCGCGCGAGGCGACCATTCTTTTCGATCCACGGATATTATCCACCTTCTATGCCTTTCAGAGTCTGCCGGGAACTAGTGGGAACTCATTCCGCTGCTTTTCTTGTACATTTCGGTGCAATTAACGGCAACACAGCTTCGCGGCAGGCTGAAATGCTATGACGCCCATCTGAAACGTGTGCGCGTTTGCCCACACCCCCCGGCTCCGGCGCGATCGCAGCGCCGCCGCAGCTCCGTGACGTCAAGCCCGCGTGTCGGTGTATACTTATGAATGAAAATGGCTTTAAGTGGCTATTGTTAGCAATTGCTTATCATATTAACAATATCACCTTAAATCGCTTCAGAATGAACATTAGTGACATTTAGTGACATAGCATTCATGATGTTTGAATATGAATGGACTCAAGTGTCTACAATTATTGGCTATGGGCAGTTCTTGGCCAAATCAGCTTGAAATGGCTATACATGTCTATCAGTGACTATTATTAGCAATTTATGCAATTGGAGTCTGTATAGATTTGAATGACTTCAACTGGATAGTATTGGCTATAGGCATCTATTCTTGGCTTGGTTGGCTTGGATCGGCTATTATTGGCTATAATCATCTGTTCCTGACTTGGATGGCTTGAATTGGCTACAAATGGCTTAAAGTGACTAGTATTTATAATTGGCAGCTATTTCTTTGTCTATAAACTGAAATGGCTTCATGTGGCTAGTTTTGGCTATCACAATATATTTTTACCAGACTGGCTTCAAATGGCTATGAATGGCTATTCGTGGATATAGTTGACAATTCTATGCTATTTCAGTGATTATGACTGAAAATGACTTCAAATGGCTGTTATTGGCTATTAGCATGTATTTTTGTTAGATTGGCTTAAAATGGCTATACATGTCTATCAGCAACTATTATTTACAATTTATGCAATTGGAGTCTATATAGATTCGAATGACTTCAACTAGATATTATTGGCTGTAGGCATTCATTCTTGACTAGGTTAGCTTGGATTGGCTATAATCATCTGTTCCTGACCTGGGCGGCTTGAATTGGCGACAAATGGCTTAATGTGGCTAGTATTTATAATTAGCAACTATTTCTTTGTCTACGAACTGAAATGGCTTCATGTGGCTAGTTTTGGCTATTACCATATATTTTTTACCAGACTGGCTTCAAATGGCTATGAATGGCTATTCGTGGATATAGTTGACAATTCTATGCTATTTCAGTGATTATGACTGAAAATGACTTCAAATGGCTATAATTGGCTATTAGCATGTATTTTTGTTAGATTGGCTTAAAATAGCTATATCAGCAACTATTATTTACAATGTATGCAATTGGAGTCTATATAGATTCGAATGATTTCAACTGGATATTATTGGCTATAGGCATCAACTCTTGACTTGGTTGGCTTGGATTGGCTATTATTGGCTATAATCATCTGTTCCTGACCTGGGCGGCTTGAATTGGCTACAAATGGCTTAATGTGACTAGTATTTATAATTAGCAACTATTTCTTTGTCTACAAACTGAAATGGCTTCATGTGGCTAGTTTTGGCTATTACCATATATTTTTACCAGACTGGCTTCAAATGGCTATGAATGGCTATTCGTGGATATAGTTGACAATTCTATGCTATTTCAATGATTATGACTGAAAATGACTTCAAATGGCTATTACTGGCTATTAGCATGTATTTTGTTAGATTGGCTTAAAATGGCTATACATGGCTATCAGCAACTATTATTTACAATTTAAGCAATTGGAGTCTATATAGATTCGAATGACTTCAACTGGATATTATTGGCTATAGGCATCAACTCTTGACTTTGTTCGCTTGGATTGGCTATTATTGGCTATAATCGT